AAAGAAAGCAAAATAGATAAACAAAATAAGAACATAAAAGTTAACTAAGTAAAGGAAAGGAAATGAAAGGCATAAACTTAATATTAATGAAAACAAAGCATAAAAAATACAAAGAGAGAAAGGAAGAGCATGATCTTGATCTGGAAATCAAGATGCCTAAATGCATGGCAAATGCCTCCTTTTATAGGCCAAAAATGGGAACTATTGATTTGATGACTAATTGATAAGTGGGTGACCAACTTTTGACTTGGTGACAATCCTTATCTTCTCTTGTCTGCCCAAAACGTCATTGATAACGTCAAAACTGGAGCCAGTTGCAAACATGAAAGTTGTAGGCAATTGTCTCAGCTTTCTTGTGTAAAAACTTCAGCTCATTTGGACTTCTAGAACTCCAGATATGGCCAAAATACCGAACAGTGCTCGGGCTGGAAGACAGATTCGGGCTTCTTTGTTGTTGCTACAATTTGGACTTGATAATGGCCTTTTTAGATCTTGGGCTCCATATGAAAGTTGTAGGCCTATGTCTTACCTTTCTATCCATATAAATTGGACCTAAATCTGAGATATATAGCTCCAGATATGACCCATTTACCGAACAGTGTTCCGGTTTGGATTGCACCGACATCTCTTTTCTAAGTTTGGCCATCTCTTTATCCTTGCAATTTAAGTTCTTCAAGTCATCAATCAATCCTTTCATTTATGTGATAGGCCTGCATTTAAAATGAACATTTACCACAAATTAAAGTTATCTTATATTATTAGATATATTATTATAAAATATATTTTAGTTAAGGAGTTATTGATACTTCAAGTGCAAAATGATGATATAAAACCATGATAAAAATGCACTTTTAAGTACTAATCACTTAACTAAATATAATAAAAGAGAGAAACATAAATAAACAAGATAAGAACATAAATAAGATAAAAATTAACTAAGTAAAGGAAAGGAAATAAAAAGTATAAACAAGAGATTAATATAACATAAAATAAAACTTGAACATTACAAAGTACAAAGAAAGAGAGCAAGAGCAAGATCTTGATCTGAACACCAAGTTGTCTAAATATATGGCAAATACCTCCTTCTATAAGCTAAAATCTAGAACTATTGATTTGATGACTAATTATTGATTGGGTGGCCACCTATTGACTTGGTGATAACTCTTATCTTCTTGTTTGAATAAAACATCATTGCTAACTTTAGAATTTAAAAAGATAGTCTTCATAAAAGTTTTGGGAATTAGTCTTAGCCTTCCAACAAAATAAGAATGAGCTCATTTGGATTTTTAGAACTCGAGATATGGGCTGAACACTGAACAGTTTCTGGGTTGTATGATAAATTTTGACTTTTCTTTTGTTGCTACAATTTAAACTTGAAAAAGTCTATTTTGAATCTTGGACTCCTTATAAAAGTTTTAGAACTATGTCTTAGCTTTTCATCCATATAAACAGACCTAAATCCATGTTCTACAACTCTAGTTATGATCTAATAAGTAATGATGTTACAGTTTGAATTGAACCAACATCTCTTTTTTAAGTTTAGCCATTCTTTGTCTTTTCAATTTTAATAATTAAACATATCAATCAATTCTTTATATTATGAGATATGTCTATATTCAAAATGAATATTTATCATAAATTAAAGATATCTTATTTTATTAGACTTGTTATTATAAAACATGGTCAAGTTAGGGAATTTAATAATACTTTAAGTGCAATATGATGATATAAAATCTTAATAAAAATGTATTTTTTAAGTAATAATCACTATGCATGTTTTGGATATGTTTTTATGGATCCACAAGACCATCATAGTTGTTCAAAGTCATCTTTATGGAGATTTACTCTTTATAGATGAGGGTGTGTAAGACTTGTTTAGATAAAAGTGATTCATTTATCTCAAAAGGACTCTAGACTTCATTTTAGATATGTTTACCATACATCTTCTCAACCATTATCAAATAAGCTTAGAGGACTAGATAATTCTAGTGTATAATGGTGGGATTGACATCTAACTTCAATCTTACTGTGGCCAGAAAGATCACTTTTACAGTGACCACTTAATGAGAGAGCTTTACATTCGTAAGAATGATCTTTAGAAGGACTAAAGAGATTTTCCAGCCTGGTCTCCTGGTAAAGAGGACTACTTATGGTTGACAGGTTCAGATTAAAGGAGTTATTTTATGGGTCAGGACTTGCTAAGGTGGCAAGGCCAGATATTACCCCTAGGATGTCAACACGGCTTAAGTTAGGGCTTGCACTTGATTGTTGAGTTGTTTAAACTTTGATGAAGTAGACATGCTAACAACTGTATGAAGGTTCATGACATGTCCCATCGTATAGGTTTCTTGATTGTCTATCATTAATTGCAGTTATGGATATTAAAAACTAATTCAGGAAGAATAATTGATGACATTCGTTTTATCAGGTTCTATAGATGACTCCAAATTATGATGTCTCAAAATCCAATCTGCTCAAGAATAAAGGTTTTTAATTGTTTAATAGAGGGTGATCATATGTTCAAGTCAATATTCCCTTCTTCAGAGTTCACGAAGTTGATGATTGGTGATAAAAGACCTAACACCTGCAAAACAATCCTTTTTTATAAGATTTAAAGACTCTTATGATAAAATCATTGACTTTTAATAAGAAATTTTAATAAATAAAAGAATAAGCTTTAAACTCTAAGAACTAGAATGTTTATTTTTACTTGTGTATAATAATACAAGAGTGTGAATACTTAGAGAATAAAAAAATTGTTAACCTTTCACCTAGACAGTTCAAAGGGTATACATAATTTCTAAACTTTGTCATGTTCCTTGAATGAATGAGTTACAATGTCATTTATACCAGATGGTATTAATGGGGGATGTGTATCATTTATATAATATAATATTAATAAGAGATATATATTCCTTACACAATATTAGTGTTAATGGAAATATGGTAAGTTCTTAGAAGACTTTTATACATCTAAGATGTAGGTAGATGATCATTATTGACTTATAATATTTTATGTTAAAAGATATATAAATAAACAAATAAATCTCTATGATCTAATATAGGGCCTATAAAGATGATTAGTTCCATATGTATTTGGACCTGTATTGATTCCAAACCCAAAGGTGATAGGTCTGGAAACTTGTCAGCTCTATATGGACTTGGACTCAACATGTAGAGGAACCCATAGATGCTAGGTTTGTGATCTCTCTAGAACTCTATGTATTTGAGCTTAGCATATAGCTACACTCACCAAGTATATTGGATCTAACATCTCTCTAGACCTATAAACACTTGGGTTTAGTACATAGTTAAACCTACAGGTGTTGGGTCTATCATTTTGCTAGACCTACATGTACATAGGCTTAACATAAAGTTGAACAAAAAAATGTTAGGTCTGATATCTTACCAAACCCATATTTATTTGGGTCCAGTGTGTAGTTAAACTTAAAAGGTGTTGGGTCTGATATCTTACTAAACCTATATGTATTTGAGCTCAGTGTGTATCTAAACACAAGGATGTGGGACATGTATTTGAGCTCAATGTGTATCTAAACACAAGGATGTTGGGCTTGACATCTCTTCAGACCCAAATCTATTTAGGTTCAACATATAGCTGAACCTAAAGATATTGGATTTGAAATTTCACCAGACCTACATATACTTGGACTCGGCACGTAGCTGAGCCCAAAAGTGTTGAGTTTGGTATTTTATAAGACTCATATGTATTTAAGCTTAATGTATCATTGAACCCAAGAATATTGAGTTTAACTTCTCTTTATAACCACATGTACTTAGATTCAGTATGTAGGTGGTATCTCATTAAATCCATGTATATTTAGATTTAGCATATGGCTAAATCCAAAATATTGAACTTGAAAACAAGTTATATCGTTCTCATTCGAACTAAATATTCTATCAATTTTAGGTATATTGGATTGTTAACCTGACTTGGACCATTTTAAATATGTACTTATGCATATCAAAAGCTTATTACTCAAAATGACAATTCAACCATCTTAACCTCTTTTTTTTTTTCTTTCCTTGCAAGAAGACAGGCGCAAAGGGCCATGTCAAGGAGAAGGCATCTGTTCTTACTGAAAGCTAGGCCACATAAATGCTCCCATTACAAACTCTCGTTTGTAAGCCAAGTCATTGTGTAAAGGCCTGTCAAGCTGCGATTCAGGCATGGTATGATAATCTTTCATGGTGTATTTGGGGTAGTGATAAGAAGCATTTGAAAGAAATTAGCACCATTCCTTTTCTTATCATCTTCTCTAACTAATTTCTCTTGCACAATATCCTTAACTTTCTAATTAGTTTAGGTTGGAGTTTTCTAATTCTTGATTCGTGGGAGGTAGGTTCTTATTATATAGTCGGACTCACGGGTGTCAATTGTTATGGCTGGCTCCATTTGCATGTTAGGTGTCATGCGAATCGGTTGGTTTAACTTCTCATGATGTGCATTATAGTTGTTTCTCTAGAGCTGAAGGGTTTGTGTGCCAGTGCAGTGGCATTGGGCAGAAGGAAGGGGAGGGCAAACAAAATTTGCAAAACTTTATATTACGAATTTAAGATGATGACCCTCTTAGTTACCAGAGATTTGGCCACTACTCCAAGCAGTGAAAGTGATTTAAGTGATAATAATGGTATGTTAAAGTTCGAAATCTAGTGGTGTCTAATTTGTAGAATTCAAACTACAAATCAAGGTTCGAGAAGTAAACGTTTTATGATATTTTTTTATTTTTTTTATCATCACTTTTTTTTTTCTCCTAAGATTTCAATTAAGATAGATAAAACCCACCAAAACTTCATATCATATGATAATTAATGCCACTTAATTCTTAGTACATGTACGTGATGCAAAATGAATTTTACTTCGCATCATTTCAAAACTTTTGGTTAAAAACTAAATAACCAAATGCATCATGTTAACTTGTACAACAAACCTAGTTATATTAACGAATTAGTGGTTTTCTAAGCGGGCCCTAATAAACGGCTCAAGAACTTTGTTTTCCTTTGGTGGAAGAATCAGGCCACAGAAAGGCTTGCATTACAAACTTTCTCTTGTAGTTCAAGTTACCACGAGTAGATAAGCCATAGGAAGCCAGGAGAAGGTCAATCTTCGATTCAGGCATGTCTTCATAATCCTCCTTGGTGTATTCTGGGTAGTGGAGTGGCATCTGAAAGCTGCTACCGGTGTTCTCTTCTCTAATCATCTTTGGGAGCAAACTACGAGTTCTTGTACTGGGTTCCTTGTTTTTCCTATTCTCCTCTTGCACTTTGTGGCAGCCACAGTTTTCCTTGTGGGTTCCTTCAGGAAAAAGAAGAGTAAGACCAGAGACGTAGCGCCCGCGCCCCATGTTTTCAATTAGCCAGCATCCAAAAAATACCCTTGATTCCACAAGAAGAGAGATCCTAGTATTGATTGCAGCCTGTATTTTAAAGAGGAATGTTTCCTTCTAGAATCAGGAATGCTTAACGGGAAATAAAGACCGACATATATAGAAACAATTATGGAAATACAAGCAGTAACCCTAGTTTTAAAATTGGAAATAACTATCGTGGAAATATATGCATTTAAGAAGAGGAATATTGGCATTTTGGATTCAACGTGTTGGAAATGGGGCTGTAATATGCATATTTTTTTCTACAACCAAATCAAAGAATGAACGTATCTCATGCTTGCTTTTGCTCGGAAAATTTTGAGCTGCAGCAATTATGAGACCTTTTGTTAGAAATTTATTTAATTAATATAATTTAAATAAATTATAAATGTATGAGAAATTAATTTAATATTTTTTATTTTTCTACTCAAATAAATTTTAATTTTTTAGATTTAATTATTGATTTATAATTACCAATCAAAGATTGATAATTGTGAAAATTAATTATTATTAGTTCTTTAATCTTTTATCTTCTAAAATTCACTATAAAAACAAAAACAAGGAGGTGGAGAAAGAGTTTCTAACTTAAATGTTTTTCAAAATTTTAAATGCTCTTTCTCACTTTATTTGTAGTGTTTTTATTAATCTTTTTATGTTTTGATTTTCCTTTCAAAAATCTAAAACTTTGGTTCCCTTTATTGAAAAATAATTGAGTCCTTTTATTTTAGTTCAAATATCTTTAAAAATACATCTAAATCAAGATAATGCTGTTGGAATCTTGGAAGCCACACTACAAACATCTTAATTGCACAATTAAGGAAAAATAAAGTTTTAAGGATAAAGAATTCATATTAAACAATAACAAAAGATTCATTATTTTAAAGTGTTTTAACAAAGTAAATACCTTATTTTAATTTAAACATATTTAATTTTATTATTAGTTTTGGTTTAGTTTGATTTTAGTTAATTTTGATTTTTAATTTTAGATTTTAGAAATTAAAAAAAAAAGAAACAAATGGAGAAATCAAACTAGAAAACCAAGAAATCAAATTAAACCAAGCAACTCTTTTTTGTCTAAGAAAATCAAAATTTTGATAAAAATAGCCCCAACTTTTTTATTTTTGCTTATTTAGACTTCTTTAGTTGTAACAAAAGTTAAAACCAAACCGATCAATTTGGTTATTTGATCTGATACAGTTTAAAATTTTAAAAAGAAATTCGGTTCAAGTAATTTTTTTTATCTGAACCAAATCATTTGAACCGATATTCACTTCTGTTAGTAACAACGAGTGCAAGTCCTGGTTAATCCTATCACCGAAATATAAAAAGAAAAAACGGCAGAAGTAAAAGATAAGAAGGAATACACACACACACACACACATGAGGAACCAAATTCACAACACCAAGCTCACTTTCTTATTATGAAGATATCACATTAAGGGACTCAGCTAGCCAGAAAGAGAACAAGGGCATAATTTATGCATAACAAAAGCCTATTACTCAACATGACAATTCATAACTGTTGTTTTTTCCTTGCAAGAAGAGAAGCGCAAAGAGCTACGTCAAGGAGAAGGCTTCTGTTCTTGCTGAAAGTTAGGCCACAGAAATGCTCCCATTGCAAACTCTCTTTTGTAAGCCAAGTCATTGTGTACAGGTAGCCCATAATCAGCAAGGAGCCTGTCAAGCTGCCATTCAGGCATGGTTTGGTAATCTTTCATGGAGTATTTGGGGTAGTGAAGGGGCATTTGAAAGCAATTAGCATCATTCTTTTTCTTGCTATCCATCTTCTCTATCTAGTTTCTCTTACACAATCTCTATAACTTTGTAACTAGTCTACGTTGGAGTCTTCTAATTCTTGGTTTGTGGAGTCAGTTTCATATTATATAGACGGGCTCACGGGTGTCAGTTGTTATGGCTGGCTCTATTCGCATGATAGGTGTCATGAGAATGGGTTAGTTTAACTTCTCATGAGGTGCATTAGTTGTTTTTCTGGAACCATAGGGCGTGTGTGCCAGTGCAGAGGCAATGGACGGAAGGAAGGAAAGGGCTAAAAAACTTTGCAAAACTTTATATTACAAATTTAAGAAGATGGCCCTCTTAGTTACCATAGATTGTGCCTTTTAAAAAAAAAAACTTAATGTGATTTAAGTTTTGAAGATATATTGTATCGTATTAATCATAATTATTTTTATTTAAAATAAATTAAAAAATTAAATAGATCTTAATAATAACAGAATAATGATAATAGTAATAATAACAACATTACATTAAAATTAAATATTTAAGGATGTCTAATGATGCATAAGATTTTTTTAGGAATAAAACTATTTAGTAGAATTCAAACTATTTTTAATTTTTATGAATTTTTTAATTTATCATAATTTGTTTTTTTAATTAGGTCAGCAAAGTAGATATAGTCTTGATACATGAAAGATGATCTAGATTAAAAACAATAAAAACTTTATGCCCCCGTAAACATTCAATAATTCATGACAAAGCTTCATCATTAACCTCTCCTCTCTTTTTTAATTAATCTTCTATCCCTTTCTTTCAAAGTAGTTTAGCCAGTTTTGTGAAGGAAATCACAAAATTAAAGATCATGAAATCGAAGGTGCGTTTTTCTTTGAGTGGATTTTAGGATTTGAATTTAATACTTTTTTAATAAAAATCTTAATCTTCTACCTGTCTCCTTAGGATAACAAGGGATTTGATGTACCAACCAAGGACACCATCAAATATTTTCACATCAACATTGAACAGAAATAAATACAAAAAAAAAAATCGAAGAACAAAGAGGAAGTGGAAGAAAATAATTCAATCTTTAGCAAATTCATTAATTAGTATTTATGTTTTCGCAAACAAAATATTTATAAATCCATTTATAATTTAGATCTCGACAATTCCATACTCTTTTTTAGAATTCTTTTTCCTAAAGAAAAAGAGATGTAAGTAATGTAGAGAAGAAGTTTTTTGAAAAGAAAAACTATCAAATTGAGAAAGATCCCCATTGGATCAAAAATAATTATTTCTTATATTACGTGGATTAACCGATTAATTTTAATAAAAACTGGAATTAAGTTATAATTAAATACTTGACACGTATGTGTTTGTTAGACTTGGAGGAACTTCTAGGTGGCTGCCTCCCTCTGAATTTCGAGCTTAAACTAGGTTGTAAAATGGTGCCAGTCTGCCAAACAGTGCAGTGCAGTGCAGTGCAGTCGTATCTATGCCACAGCTAAAAAGCCGAAAAACGAGAAAATAAAGCCGTTCTGCACTCCAGTTTTCACTGATTCTGCACTCCATGCTTTTGGTCTCAAAACCTAATTGATGCACAATATATGTAACATAAACCAATTCTGATGGGGGGTGTTCTTGAAGGCTGTAGAGCAGTGATGTCTAGTTTTATATTCCTAGTCAAGCAAGTCTCTGTTTTTTTGCCCTCTCTCGATAACAGTAATTCTTGGCTCCCAAGGCGCCACAAGAATTATATCACTACTTAATTTTAGTTTAATGTAGCTCACAAATTTCTTTTGGGACAAAAAAAAAGTCTCATGAGTTTAAAAAAAAAACCCATTGTACCTTAAACAATGATGTTAACTTCGGTTCAAATTAATGAGAGAATTTAAAAATATTAATAATTCAAGATTTAATTAATAAATTGATTCAATCAAATTTGATTAAAACAATTTTTTAAAAACAAATAACATAGACAATTTGTTAAGGTTAGGATTCAAATCTTGTTACCCTTTCCATAAAAATAAAAATAAAAACTGTCAACACACTATGATTGCAATTGTAATATAATTTATTTAATGTTATATATTCAGTTAAAAACAAGTTGAAAAAAATATTGAAACAACACTTGTAACTAAATGTTGTAGTTTTTGCAATTATAGGTTAAAAATAATTTAAGAAAAATATTTTTACTTATAGTTTTTAAAAAAATTAAAAGAGTATATTTTGTTAAAGTTGTTGTGAGGTGAATTTTTATATACAAAATAAACAAATAAAATAGATTATTTTAACTTCTACAAAAACAAGGTTTAAAAGGCAATTATATATAGGTACCATTAAAAAAATACAAATTATTTAACTAATCAATCAATTTTTTTTATGTTTGAAAAAAAATGGAAGCTCCTATTATACCTAATAATCTCGAAGTAGTTCAAAGCCATAGTGTTTTTTTGTTTTCTCTTCATAGACCTTATTATATCATTCTTAAAAATTTTTAATTAACATGTTCGTTGGAATTCAAGTTTTTAATGACCCACATGTGATCTTATTAACATGATACTAGATATCTTTAATAGTGGTCGGCCAATCATAGACAACCTCATAAATAAATAAATAAATAATGATTTGAGTTAATCTAGGTTAATTTATCAAACCCTTAATCTTGATTATGAAACTATAATAAATTTATAGAAAATAAATCAAAACAAAAAATAAATCATAATTTCCAATAAACTTATTATTGAATGATGAAATTGAGAAAAAATCAATCTAAAAAAAATTCACAATAAAATGACTTGAGCTTTATCCTAGTTAACCTGCAAAACATGTAACTCAAATCATAAGACCAAGATAATATCATAAAAATCAAATCAAAATAAATCATGAAATCTAATTTATAATCAATTTAACATTAAAGGATAAAAATTATCAATTAAAAAAAAAACTAAGTTAATTAGGTTAACTTGCCAAACCTGAGACTCGTCATGTGACCAAGCTAACCACTTATAAAACAAGCTATAATAAATCATGAAACTTAATCTCTAATAAATCAAATATTGAAGTATGAAATTCGAGAAAGAAACATATATTTAGAAAAGGAAAAACAAATATTGAAATAAATTGTATTTTGTAATGTAATGTATAGTAAAAAAGCAAACTACAATGAATTATGAAGTTCAATATTTAATAAACCAAATATTAACATATAAAATTATAGAAAGAAACATAGATTTAGAAAAATA